GCCAAGTTTCAAAGAGATAGGTGCAGGGGTTTCTTGGAAACCCCTGCACCTCAAAGTCCTGAAAGCAAAACTCGGTGACACTTGCTGGCAGCAGCAGCCTCCTGTCATCCGGCATGCAGATCCGGGGGCCTGCACCCTCAGGAGGGCTGTGGGGTTGTGCCGGACTCCTCCTGGGGATGCGGGCCCCTGGATCTGCACTAGATGACAGGAGGCTGCTGCTGCCGCCTGGGACCAGCGCATCTCGCACCCAGCGCCAGGCTCCATGGAGCTCCGCCCTGGCTATGCCCGCCTCCCACCACTGGGCTGAGCTCCAGGGGGCTGCGGAGCCACTCAGCGTAGCCCTGGTTCTCCCCTGCCTCCTGCCACCTGCTTCGAAACTGGAAAAGTTTTGAGTGCCCTCATTTCATTTCGAAGCTTTTTGTTTTGTTTCAATGTTGCTGTTTCGAGCTCAAAATGCGTCGAAACAGCTTTGAAATGAAACACTCTGCAAAATTTCGCTCAACTCTTATTACAAAGCAAATTATAATTATTCTCACTGAAGAATTAATGTAGTATATCAGGAATTAGACTAAAGTCTTATTTTGAATGTGCTCATTGAAGCAGGTCACTTCTTTTTTTTTTAGGGCTCCTGCAGTATAGTATGGCATTATGGTTATATTTCCCTGAACTTGCTCAAAGTGGAACAGTTTGTTAGCAAGAAAGCCTGCCTCCTGATCGTGAGACAGCCATTTATATTTGAAGAAACTATAAATTGAACTGTACCCTACAAAGCTTAAAACAATTTGGGCTTTTTTGCTTTGAGCTCTCCTGAAATCAGAAACTTGGAATGTTTTACTTGACTTTTTTCATAGAAGACCTTTTTGAAATAAGCAAATAAATATACTTCATTCTGCTTGGACTTTCAGTCTGTCTTGCTTTAGGAAACCAAATGTTCTATGCAGCATTGTTGTATTCTTGGCAATAAATTTAAAGCTGCATTCACAACCCTTAGGTTTGTCAGTGTTCAGTGCTGAAAAAAAGAAAAAAGGTTTTCCTTGTGCTGGAATTTCTGGAACATTTAATTTCTGAGCAGGGCCCTGAGTAGCTATTCAGACAAGGTTAGCAAGGGGTAGTGAGATGACGGCGTTCGACCAGAAGGCAGGCTTGATAGTAGTCAGGAAACCACAACTCTGGGTGAAGTTTAATGTGTTGTAGTTTCTCAAAGGAAGTGATGCAGTTGGTATTTAAACACTGCCCCCAGACAGTACTTGGGTGGACTGTGAGAAGTGGTCTGAGTTTACAAGAAACTGGACAAGATAAGCTAATTCTGTGGGGGCCAACCTTGTTGGGGAGCGTGCCCCGAGTGCCATTCTGATCTTCCCTGCCCAGTCTCTTGCTCTGCTTTCTGCTTCCTGCCCTCTGCTCCCTGTATGATCTGTGGCTCTGTCTTCTGTTCCTTGCCCCATCTGCTGCCGTGCTGTCCCCTCCACAGTCTGCCATGTGCCATGCACAGGCTGCCCATGGCACAGGTTGGCCACCCTGTAGGTTGATCTTTTGAATCTTAATCTTCTTTTAAAATAGTTTTTTAGCAGACTGAGAATGTCCATAGTCACACCTGTCGCAGCTTTGAAAATGGTGTTTTACTTTTCACTTCTCATGTAGAAAAGTTACATTTTACTTTGTGTTTGCCTTTTTCCTTCTTATAGTATGGAAGACTTTTACCCCAATAAAAATCATGGCCCTGACTCTGGCATTGGCAGTGATAATGGAGATAAAAGACTGTCTACCACTGAAGTGAGTTTTCTTGTACTGCTTATTTAAACTTTTTTATTTTAAGAAGTTTTATTTTTTCCTTCAGATTCTACAGACTTACTGTGTAATGTTTAGGAAAGCTTAAATAAATGAAAGGGGTGTTGCAGTTACATTCAGTCAAATGTGGTTCGTTTTAACCACATTTTTAGATGCAACATGTAAGGTTGTGTTTTAAATTTACTTTCGCTTATTAAAACAAATAAAGTGAAGTGATGCATAATGTATTTTTAATGAAAGGGATGTTTATATTGAAAAAATGTGTTCTGAATTCAAATTTGGTAGAAAATGCTGTTTGACATGTTAGATGTATAGTGATCAGCAGCATCTACTTTTTCCAAGAACCTGTTCATGTAGCTGTATACTTCTGGAGTTTAGTCAGCTGTAGTTTGTGTAACAGCAGTATTAAAATTAAACACAAGAACATTGTGAAAATGGGACTAATTGAAGACTATTAAAATGCTTAAAATCCAGGTTAAAAGAGACTTGAGCAGGGGTTGGCAACCTTTAAGAGCAGCAGGCTTCCACTGCAGGCCACTGCTCCCCTGTGCAGCACCCAAGCCCCTGCTGCCACTTCTACAATGTATGGCAGCAATTCCTGTCCCTAGTGGGCCAGATCCAGTCACTTTGTAGTTTGGATCCAGCCTATGAGCCATAGGTGCTGACCCCTGGACCGAGGCATAATTAGACTGTTCATGAAAATGGAAATATCATAGGGTTGTGTCAAGAGAAAACTAAGGAGGAAAGTGGTCACAAAGACTTGAAAAACTGGGTGGTGGCGAGTGAACATTTGGAAGGAAAAATAGTTGGGTGTTTCAGGAACTGCTGCTTTCACAGATGCACATTTTACTCTGTCAAGAGCATTGTGCTGCAAGTGTTCTGCGAATGAGAAATGCTGATTTGCAAATGAAACAGAGCAACTTGAGCACTTGTTGCATTCATTGTTAGGTTTTTTTTTCATAGTTTCATAGTTTCTAGGGTCGGAAGGGACCTGAGCAGATCATCTAGTCCAACCCCCTGCCATGGCAGGAAGAGCACTGGGGTCAAATGACCCCAGTAAGGTGGTCATCCAACCTCCTCTTAAAAACCCCCAGGGTGGGAGCCTGCACCACCT